CTGGTCTCTGATAGGAGTCCAAGATGGTGGATCCATGCTGTATTAGCTGATAGGGGACCTCTCCATGTATGTCTCCTCACTCTCTGTTCTCTGTCAGTTTCTTATTCTGTTTGGTGCTTGGCTGAGTTCTTTATCTCTTCATTTGATGTTTAGGTTTCAGGATTGCTGTTTTCTCTGTTTGGCTTTGTTTTTCAGATCTTTGCTGTGGAGGGACGGCGTGGTGCTTCTGCCTAGAGCGCCATGTTGCCGGAGGTTATCAGATTTGTTCATTTTTTTGGCAGCCCCTGGTATATTCAATATTCTTTGCCAATACCGTAATTCAAAGGCATCAATTCTTCTTTGGTCTTCCTTATTCATTGTCCAGCTTTTGCATGCATATGAGATAGGTGAAAATACCATGGCTTGGGTCAGGCACACCTTAGTCCTCAAAGTGACATCTTTGCTTTTTAACACTTTAAAGAGGTCTTTTGCAGCAGATTTACCCAATTCAAGTTAATATTTTATCAATTATTCTTCCAGAGGATTTATGTGTTTTGAATTAATCTCCTATCCACAAATTAAGAAACAAACTGAATTTTATTCTGGAACAAAACAGAAAGAAGGAAACCAAAGACTCAAAGAAAAAATTAGTTTATAAGACTAATAGTCTACAAACACCATGGCCTCATCTATCCTGAGACCAGAAAAACTGGATGGCGCCCAGCTACTACTACCAAACATTCTGATCAGGGCCACAATAGATGGAACAGAACCGCAATTTCTTAAAAAACCCAGATTTCAATCCTGCAACAACAGTAATAACAAACAATAATTTATGAGTGGATCATAGGTAGATATGTATGCTGAATAGGTGTGGGAAGGTGTATGGGAGTACACTCATATGCATATATAGGTTTGGCTGTGGATATTTCTACACACATATTTATATGTGCAGCATGTATATTCACGTATATAATAGACCATATGGGGGCACAGTCATGGACACATCCTAGACATAACTAAACACTTTGTGGGACTGTGTTACTGGACTTGAAGGCTAAGGATCATAGTCTGGAGGGATAGCCAGGTCAGTTGGCATAACATAGTTCATAAAGATAACATTTTATATCCTACTTTGATGAGTAGCATCTGGGTCTTAAAAGCTTTCAAGTGGCCATCTAAGATACAACTATTGGTCTCTTTCTGTCTGGAGTAAAGGAGAGTGAAGAAAACCAAAGACTCAAGGAAATAATTAGTCCAAAGGACTAATGGACCACAGGAACCACAGCCTCCAGTAGCCTGAGACCAGAAGAACTAGATGGTGCCCAGCTACCACTACAGGCTGCTCTGACCAGGATCACAATAGAAGATCTCGGATAGAGTGGCAAAAAAAAGTAGGACAAACTTCAAATTCATAAAAAAGACCAGATTTACTGGTCCAACAGAGACTGGAGAAACTCCCGAGACTGTGGCCCTTAGACATCTTTCTGACTTGGAATAGAAGCCATTCCCAATATCACCTTTCAACCAAATAATAAATAGACAGGCCTATAAAATAAACAATAACACCTGTGAGCACAGTGCTCCCTCTTAGAACAATCATCTATATGAGACCAAATGGGCAACATCTGCCCAAAAGCAAAGATGAGATGGCAGGAAAACCAGACAAATGGAAATAGGAAACTCAGGGTGGTAATGGGGAGAGTGCTGACACATTGTGGGGATTGCAACCAATGTCACAGAACAATCTGTGTATAAATTATTGAATGGGAAACTAATTTGCTCTGTAAACCTTCACCTAAAGCACAATTAAAAAAAAAAAAAATCCAGACTTACTGGACCAGTTGAGACTGAAGGACTTCCCGAGACTATTGCCCCGAGATACTCTTTAAACCTTGAACCAAAACAAACTCCTAAGGTCACCTTTTAGCTAAATAACTGATTTGCTCATAAAATAAAGAATATGATCCATGAGTACTATGCTTCTTTAAAAAAATCATCTATATGAGTCCTAACAGTCAATAATTACTTTCAAGCAAAGATGAGAAGGTAAGGGGACAGGGAAACTAGACTAATGGAAACAGAACAACCAGAACAGAAATAATGAGAATGTTCACACATTGTGAAGAATGTAACCTATGTCACTGAACAGCTGGTGCAGAAATTGTTGAATGGGAACCTAACTGCTGTGTAAACCTTCACTGAAAACACAATAAAATCTCATTAACTTTTTTTTCTTCTCTTACCTTCTATTATGCTTGCAGTCATAGTATGTTGTTGAATTCTTTCATGCTAATACCTTTAAATATGTATTCTAAACTCTTCCCTTCCTGTATTTTTATTAGATTTTCAAAATAAAGTTATTTTTTAAATGGGGGGGGCGGAGAAAGAAAGAAGCTGAATTTCATCAGTGCTATCTAACTTGAATGCTTGCCAGGGAGTTAAATTTAAAACATTCATGCTGTGGTCATGTGGCCCTTGTGTGGCCCCAGGGCACTGAGGTCAGCATGAATAATCATATTAGCGGGGCAGGTCCATGACTACTCCATGAAAGGCTGCTAATTTAGAAAACAGATATTTGCACCAAAGGTTATCAGACACTTCTGAAACACCATAAAATAATGTAGTATAAAACCTGCTTTGGCTAATCCTCTAAAATTCCGGGATTGGTCTGATTTTTGAAGACCCAACATCCTTTCTTTAAGGATTGATTTTTCATAGCTCTGGTCAGCTTGGTGAAAATACAAAAGACAATGGAAAATAAAGGAGCCAATCCCTGTCTACTTTCTCCATTTTATCTTTCCATAAGCATAAATGTCACCTAAATATATCCTTACAGCATAGAAGAAAGGCATGATTGTGCAATTAACAAAGGGAAAGGGAGTTGTTTCTCAAACTTTTTCTTGATGACCCTAAATATCTATTTATGTCACTGTTAAAGCCACTATCATTTTCCCAAAGTTTTGCTGAATGGATGAGATAGAGTTATATCCCAAACTGTTAATTATTGCAGCACTGTCACACTATATGACGCAATTCTGAAATGAAAACGTTTTCAGTGAAACTTTGTCAAGTAACACCCAATTTAAGTTACAGTATGCATGAGGTTAAAGATATTGCCAAGAAAAAAATTTAAGGAAAATAGAAAGCAAAAAGGGTTCCTTGTTTCTGTAGCTCACTTTTAAATGGCTGGCCTTAGAACAAGTGCCCAAATAGAGGGTGAGTAATGGTGACTGAGGTGTTTATGATATAAGCAATTCATAAACTCCAGAACGACAACACTCTGAAAGAGAGAACATTTGGTGCCTTCCATCTGGTTTTAATATCAGGAAATGTCTTCATCATGTTATAAAGATAACATGAGTATCCCTTATTCACCTGTTTGTTTCTGAGCATGGCCACTCCTGTTTCTGATACTTCTAGGTAATACAGCCTCCCAAAGTAGTTGAGAACCTATGCTGTTAGTTGCCATGGAGTTGACTCTGACTAATGGCGACCTTATGTACGTAGAAGCTATGTTGTTATTGTTAGGTGCTGTCGAGTCAGTTCTGACTCATAGCAACACTATAGGACAAGAGTAGAACTGCCTCATAGGGTTTCCACGGAGCGGCAGGTGGATTGGAACTGCTGACCTTTTAGTTAGCAGCCCAACGTTTAACCACTGTGCCACCAGGCCTCCATAGAACCTATAGGAGCACTTTTTATGGCATCTTTAGACTCCTTAAGATGTTCTTCTATCCAGTATTTATTTCTAGTAATTACAAATACACAATCACGTGTCAAGGCTGTTCAAAAATGTCTCAAGGTACAGACCATTTATTGTATATCTGCTGATAGTTCTAGGTAATGTAGCTTCCTAAAGTAGTTCTATTCTGTCCTATAGGGTCGCTATGAGCTGGAATCGACTCAATGGCAACAGGTTTTTTTTTTTTTTTTTTTTTTTTTTTTTGAGTTTTAAAGTAGTTGAGAACCTGTGGTGTTAGTTGCTGTCGAGTTGGCTCTGACTAACGGCGATCTTAGGTACATAGAACCTATGTTGTTGTTGTTAGGTGCCATTGAGTCAGTTCTGACTCATAGCGACTCTATAGGAAAGAGTAGAACTGCCTCATAGAGTTTCCAAGGATCAGCAGGTGGATTCAAACTGCTGACCCTTTGGTTAGCAGCCGAGCTCTTAACCACTGAGCCACGAGGACTCCATAGAATCTATAAAGACACTTTTTATGGCATCCTTAGACTCCTTAAGATGTTCTCCTATCCAGTGTTTATTTCTAGTAATTACAAATACACAATCATGTGTTGAGGCTGTTCAAAAATGTCTCAAGGTACAGATCATTTAGTATATATTTGCTGCTCTATGCACTGCTACTAGATCACTTACATAGTATCAGTTGAGAGGCATTCTACTATACGTTGTGGTAGGAAAACAGAAGGTGATCCTTGTCTTCAAGAAAATTACAGTTGACCATTACAGAACCATGTAAGATAGTTCACATTTATATACTTATTTGTATGGTAAGAGTAACCTGAATTGATCAAGAAGAGATCAACTGGAATAAAATCATAGAATGTGATTAGACAGTTTGCCCAAACCCTTCATTTGAGATGCAATGAAATCAATGTGATGCTTCACTGAGGAAGTGGGATTTGAATTAGGCCTTAAACAATGAGCAGACTGAAAGTAAATGTGAAATTAGAAGAGATCTAGCTAATTAATTTATCTTACTTTTCCTGATTTTATTGGTATGAAGACATACGTAGTCTATCCAATTAAGCTTTGTCAAATAATCCATAAATACATAAAGTACATGTGATTAACAATGCTTTTAATGCCAAAGATAGCTTATTTTCTTAATCCAAAGCTCATTTTATGTAATTATCTTTTTTTGCAAACTACTAGTTGGTTATATTAACACTTGAGTAATCTTGACAAGAAGTTGCTTTAAGCAGTTAAAGATCTAGATGCTGATCAGCATGCATTAAGTAATTCAGCTTAATTGGTTCCATCTAGATAAATTACTTACCTTAGTTCCTATCACAATTTCTTCCCTGGTGGAATAGAACAGAAACTCATACAGCTTGTAGTGTTGAAATAAGCTGAAATACAAAATAAATGTGCAACTTTGGTAAATTTATTTCAGAGAAAAAGCAAATATGTTAGGATATTTATTAAAGAAAAGTTATTCATATTGACCAAGCTAAAGACATTAAATACTAATATAGAGTTAGCCACCTCCTTTAATCCTAAGGAAACTGTCCAGAAATGCTAAGAAAGTAAAGGTTTATTTTTTGAGATGTTGAAAATATAACACAGTACTTAAAAAATAAAATCAGGAAATTCATCTGCGGTGAGTGAATAGGTTTGGGATAAGGGAGCAATTAGATTGCATCTTGAGTTTTCCTGACTTAAAACCAAATAATACCCCACCCCTACATAACACCAAACCTCACATTATTTTTCATGTTTTGCTCCAAACTGGAGTCAATTTCTTCTGATATGAATGACATGAATTCTGTATTTTACTTCCTGACATATCAATTACTTCCTCTCCCTTTCCTAAACATTAATCAAGATTAATCTCCAATAGCATCTGAAAAGTGATGTCAGATGAAATGAAATTAATTTAGAAAAGCCTGATTTTCCTGAAAAATATTAGATCACAAACAGAGGGGGAGAATAGGAGAAGCCTGGTGATTTGCTCCTGAAAGTCACACCATGAAAACTCTATGGAGTGCAGTTCTACTCTGAAACTCATGGGGTCTCCATGAGTCGGAATCAGCTCAACAGCAACTGGCTTGGCTATCAATTACTTCCTCTCACGTTCCTAAACTGTATCAATTAAATTAATCTCTAACATCTGAAAAGTGATGCAAGCTGAACTGAAACCCATTTAAAAAAGGACTGATTTTCCTGATTTTAGATCACAAACAGAGGGGAGGAATTAATTTAAGAAAGCTCATTTCTTCAGTTTCTATCCTAAAAACTAGGTGATCAACTACAAAAAAGCCAAAGCAGGTCTTGAAAATAAATATTTTTTAGTAAGTTTAAAGATTTCAGAAATGTAGAATTGGGAGTTTGAAATTTCGTGAAAGGCTGACTTCTAATATCCTGTTTGTGATAATATTTGAATATTTCTAATTCTCTTCCTGCTGGTTAGGAAAATTAATAGACTCATAATACAGCAAAATGCCCAAGAACCAAAAAATAGACTTAGTGGTTTCTCTTTCACTCTGGTGCCTTTTGCTATTTAAGAAAATTGATTTTAATATAACTGAGAAATTAACATTTACAAAATGTAGCTACTGAGCATGTATAATAATGGCTTCTCCTGAATGCTATAATGGATCAAAGTTTCAATTCATTTGAAATCAATGAAGAAATCCTCAGGCAGCTGGGTCTCTTTGAGTTATACTAGCAGTTGATCTCACTACTAACACAATCCATTAAAAAGTGATGGGTGTGTGCAGGCTCAGTCATGGTATTTCTTTTATTTTGGGCGGGGGGAACCTTGAATGTTCAAATTACTCATCAACATTCAGAAAACCAACTTAGCTTTTGACATCACTTTGATTTGTTGGCTAGAAAATATGTCAAGATTAGTGAAGTTTGATATTTTCAATGAAGCAAAATAAATTCAAGCCCTCCTTCCCTTATACTGGTTACCCAGAGAAAAGCTTTAAGCTCAAAAGCATTACATTGGCAATAACTGATTTTGAATAGAAAATATTAAAGACAGCATTTTGGAAATAGCTTGGCTTCCTTTCAGTGAACTAGTGTAAGACTTTCCTTTCTCTATCTTGTGTCATACAAAGAGCTTAATTCATAAATCTTCCTTTCTGCAATTTTGTAATCTTTCAGTCTTATTCTCCTCACTGCATATGGGAATGAGATCATCCCATGCCAAAAGGGAAATTCACTTCCTACAATGAGAATAAAATGCATGACTTGGATGCAGTGGTTAAAGATGCAGAGTTGGGGGCAAAGCAGGGACTAGGGTGAGATGAGGCAAACACCTCAGGAGGTGGCTCATCTCACGCTCTGGCCAGGGCGCCTCCCTTGCCTCACCCTAGTGGCCTTTGGACTGACTAAAGCTCCTGGACTATTTGGTTGAACATCTAGCCTTAGGTCTAAATGGAAGAAATAATACCCCGACTAAAAACAGATCAAGTCATCTGGCTCCACGGCAGGAAGTGTAATGCCCTGCTATGCACAGAGGGGCAGGGCTGATTTTTTATATTGGGCATTACCTTCACTTAATTCCCAGAAAATAGGTAGAAGACACAACGACAGACGTGCATCCAGACCAGACATATATCCAAATGATGGTTTGTATTAAAAAGCTGCAGTTGTATTTATATTTGTATATGTTATACATTCACATATACAAATGTGTATATTGTACATGCACAAGTAGATTTGTCAGTACTTAGAGTAACCGGGGTGAAGATGCGGAAGTTTGGCATTGGTTTTTTTCAACTCACAGAAACATGACCAAATATACAATTTAGAGTTTGCTAGGAGTATCACATGAAATTTCAAGTTCATTGTCAGTTAAGTTTCAGGTGCTATGGATCATGTTTTAAAAACTGCTCTTCCTAAATTGACTAGGGTGAACTTAATGTCAGGTTAAATTGAAGCATGCTCATACTTCCAATAACTGAATTAGCTTTATATTTATCAAACTCTATTGTAGTCATCAAAATGAAAAGTATTATATGATTCAGCCCCCAGACACCCTTTTAGCTCAGGGGTGAAGTCATCTACGAGGTTCACCGTTCAGCCTGGGAGTGGACAGCCCCATAAAACCAAATGGGACTAACGAGGTATGGCAGTCCAGGGACAAGGGCCAGAAGGCAGAAGGGGACAAGGAAGCTGGTGATAGGGAACCCAAGGTTGAGTATGGATACTCTTGATGTGTTGTGAGGTTGTTAACCATTGTCATAGGGCAGCATGTGTACTAACTGTTAAATGAGAAACTATTTTGTTCTGTAAGCCTTCATCTTAAGTGAGAATAGCAGCACAATTGGAAGAGCGTAGTCGATGTCACTGAACTGTGCATGTAGAAATTTTTGAAATGGTGTATCTTTGGCTATGTATATTTTCACCAAAAAAAAAGGTCGAGAAGGGACAGGGTTGACATGTTGTGGGGTTGTTAACCAATGTCATAAAACAATACGTGTACTACTGTTTCATGAAAAACTATTTGTTCTGTAAGCCTTCACCTGAAGTACAATAAAAAAGAAAAGTATATGATTCAGTGATATCATTAAGCTTACATTTGTGGACCTGTGAGGGATTCTAGACAGGTGTTGTAGAAAAGCACATTTTCCTTTACAGAAAAATAAAATATCAGTATCAACCCCTGACATTTTATTTTTCTGTAGCAAGGATTTTTAAAACAGGTAATTTCTTTGAAATCTCAATATGAGGCTCTAACAGCATCAAAAACAGCTCTGATTTACTTTATTTGCCTAATCTCTCAAATATTACTCATTTTTGGAGAAGTAATGCTGGTGATTTTTGGTACACAAAGTGACCCTGGTTAGGAGTTAAAGGCTACTAACCCTGGTATCTTCTCCTAATGTAACCATTTTCTGAAAGAAAATGTTGAGAACATTTTCTCAGAGAGATCAGATGAAAGGAAAAGAGCCACCACCCTTCACCATCTAGAAAGTGTCATCGTCGTGCCTGCATGGTTTGTACTGCTGTGGTTAACTATCAGTCCCCATACCCACTATAAACCTCCTGGGCTAAGAGCTCAGCTGTAAAAATGTGTTCTGCAAGAGAAACCTGGCAGGTTCACATAGAGAGAGAGATGGGAAAGAAGAACGTTCGACAAATGTGCAGAGCAGAACTCCTCTCTCCCAGTGATTCTCAAACCCTGAGGGGCAGAAAGACCTTGCGGACCAGGTTCTCCTCCAATTCTAGATTTCTGCTCTCCGCCCCCCTCCAGGTACCTTGCCTTCTTACTCTAATTGATATGAAGAATAATGTGGCTTTTAGTGAGAGAGACACATTAGGAGGTATACCAAGAAATCATATCAACTGCCATTATACAAAAAATACATTACATCATATGCTGTTATTAATTCATGCCAGAAACAAGTGTATAAACTTTAACATATTAAACATATTAAAGTTTAGAAAGCTTCCAGACTACAACCAGGATCCTTGCCAAGCAAATCCATGAGCATGGATGTCAAGGATGTCATTCAGCACCCTTTATTTTGGAATTTTAAAATTTGAAAAGTGGAAGACACTAGAGTATGCAGTATAAGAAGTATAGAGGCATTTCTCCATAGCAGTTTTTAGTCAGGCAAAAGATTTTTACCGACTCTAGTTTAAATATTTGCAAGCTCTAAAAATGTCCACTTGGTGAGATTCATGACTCTAATCTGACCCTGTGACAGATTATATAAAAAGACAGATTTCTTTGTTCAACAATGAAGAATCACTGTAATAAAAAATACTTTCCCTCCATCCACCATCAATTTCTAAGCAGAAAGGAAGACTTAATGAGTTTAATTAGGTAACACAACAAAATATTTCAGGGCACACAATAAATTTTAGGAAGGATATTCATAAATCTCTTCAATTTTTAATAAAAATCATTTAAAAGAAACTTTTAAACGGAAATGAATGTTGCTTTTTAACATATAAAATGTTGATGTCAAGGTCAGCTAAATCACTGTACCTAAAATATAGAGTCTATTGTAAGTGAGTGATAGAAACTGTTGAAAACAACATTTTCCTTGCCTTGTTTTAAGAACGCAAAGTTAGTCAAAATGTTCAATGCCCTGACTTTTATTTACTGGATGGAATAGTTGTTGTTGTTGTTGAGTTAATTACTATATAAATTCTGTAAATGTCTGAATTTGTTAAGATAAAATAGTTTTATTTAATAGACATTTTCAAGAAGATATGAAATGAAACCAACGCTACTGAAAAAATCCATACCTGATTTTTAAGTAATCAATGATAGCATTGGCTTGTGTTACATCGAACATATTCCATTCTTCATTTCTTTCTAAATGGGATGGTCCTATTTCAGCCATAACTTCTCCCAGCCATTTTATGCTATCTTCTAAGGACATATGTAGTGCTGAAATAAAATCCATGGAAATCTTAAGCATTATTTTGACAGATGTTTTCAGAGCAAAATAATCCAACACCTTTAATGTGCAAAAATTACTTCAGTATTTGCAAGGGCAAATGGTAAAACTTGTTTTTTCATGAAATAGTTAATACCTACTTTTTGTGTAAAAGAATAACAGCTGATGAACCCAACAATTGTAAATTACTGTGATGCTACACAATTGTCTGAAGAGTTGATGTTTCCATTTTAAAATGAAAAAAAAATCTATCTAAAGATTATTTCAAGTGGAAAGGAAATTTTTCTGATCTTAGAATAAGAACATAATGACAAAAAATTGTTTGGTGTAGCCGGTGAACAAGGCTTAGAGTAGGTTCAATCATTGTAGACAGGGGAGCTGAATTCACTGCTGAAAATGTAAATGGATGGATTCAACCAACACCTGGCTTTAGCTGATTGTTACCATGTGGGGTTTTGGGCCTGAAGATTTTCAAAAGAAGCCAGAAATAAGGATTTTTATGTAAAACATCAAGATTGTTTTCTTTTCCACAGCTATAGACTTAAAACTCATGTAAACTGTTTCTCAACTCTATGCCCTGTGGTGACGAAGAGAAGACAGCATAAAAGGGTAACACAACTTCACCATCATTATCAAGATTAAACTGCTTAATGATTCTAGTCTATTCTTTTATAGCTAAAATTATAAAAACTAAAACCAAAACAAAACAAAAAACCAACCAACCAACCAACCAAACAAAAACTATCTTCTTTGAAGAGAGAAACACTGCTCTGCCTTAGAGGGGAGGATTAGGGTGGGGGAGCCTGAGAGTTGGAGGTAGGGAGTTGTAAAGGCTCTAGAGAAAGTGAGGCTGTATTCTCTGCTTGGAGGGAAGACACGAAGACACTACCATGAGGAAATGTCAGCTGGAAGCCTGGATGAGCTTTAGGGGGAATTTGAATTTGATGTTCGTTGTGAATTCCACTCATCGGATCTCAAACAAACCTTTGTCTCTCTTATGAAACCATCAGGAAAATTTCCACTTCTTGTGAATGGAGTGGATTTTCTTTTGGGGAATGTAGAAAAGTTCTGGGAAGATAGGCTGATTCCTGGACCCAGTCACCTCTGAGTTACACAGCTACTCTTCCTGTCTGGGAATGCAGATGCTATACCCTAAACACCAAAATTACTAATAAAATGATAGTAAAGTAATTTAAATTTTAGGATAGATATGATAAACACTAACTTGTAATTCATTTAGTCTAGATTCTTTTCTACTTGTTGTTGTGTGCTGTCAAGTTGATTCCAACTCATGATGACCCTACAGGACAGAGTAGAACTGCCCCATAGGGTTCTATTTGTAGGAATTAGAAAGAAGCATAAAACCATACAATAATTAAAATCTGGTTTAATGAATTACAGTTGGTCCATTTCTCATAGCCTCCCTCCAGATAGTCTTTTATGTATGTCAGATACACTGGATTATTGCTGGATGACTATACTTTCCTACATCATTCTATGTGGAGCCCAATTACTGTATCACGTTTCTTTTTCCATTAAAAACTTCTTTTGAAAACAGTAATTTCAGAAATAAAAAAATCTGTTGGATAAAAGCAATTCATAAATGAATGGATTAAAAATCTGAATCATTTTATTAATAAAATGGTATTAATTAGAGATGCAGTGAAAAAACAATTTCTTAGATAACTGATTATAATTCTACATGAGAAACTATACTTATTAAACAAAAATACATTTACATGTCTATTTCCTTATGTTGGAATATGACTGACTTTAAAAATGTTTTCCAATGTCTAATGTCTTTCTAATGGTTTTAAGAACTAGGAAAGTTATTTCATTTACCTAACTGAAATATTTGCTCTTTTAAAAATCACATTTAGTAATGTAATTAAAACATGAAAGATTAAATCAAGTAAATAGTAAGGGCTGTTAGAAATAAAATGTATCCTTAAAAATTTAGGGTAATGTAAGAACACACTAAACTTATAATTAGTTGGAAGACTTAGACTGGTATCTCATAACTGCCATTTACTAGCTAGGTGACCTGAGTCTCACTTTCCTTATCTGTAAAATGAGAGTAACACTCATTTTCAAAATTATAGTGCTATTGTGATGATCAAATAAGAAATGAATATGAATCTCTTAGTAAACTGAAAAGATATATATGCTAGTACATTACATGTATATAGTGCTTTCTAGAATTCAGCCCAGTGCCAGGCATATTTGGTGTAATAGTTAGGAGGATGGGCTCTGACTGACTGGGGTTGACCCTGTGTGACTTTAAGGAGTTGTTTAACATTCGCTGTATTTCATTTATTTTTATCATTTTTAAAATGGAGAGAATAATACAGCTATTTACTAAGGGTGTGTGTGAACTGAATAAGACAATATTTATAAAACAATTGGCATCACGGCTGGCACAAGTTAAGCTTCCATAAATGTCACCTATAATAATAATTATTATTATTCCTATTTGGGGGAGAAAAACCCAATTCAGGATTATAGAAACTACTAAAAGTATTCTATGGTTATTTACTAAGATTCTTATTATATACAGGGTAATCTAGACCCACGAACCTGGACAAAGGCCAAATATCCAGTCTATCTAATACCCTACAGCTTATCTGTGGTTGGGCCTAGAAAAACTGACCTGAAAATATGAATTGCTAAGATAACTCTACAAATCCTATGCTCCATAATCCTTTAGTTTGATCTAATTTTATTCCAGGTGGGTAGTCTGCAAAATGCCTTACAGATATGTCACAAGTTTGAGGCAAGGATCAGAAACCGAGTTAGAATAAAATGTAGTTCCTATATTAAAATTTTACTAGTAACGCTTGACCATCCTACAGTTAACAGCCCAGACTGTGTTCGTCAGTGCGTTTTCTATGAAGATGTTGCCAGATTGGAATGCTAAGTACTCAGGACTCTATTACCACTCAGCTGACTTTACCTCCTTCCTTGTCACACTTGGCTAAGATTACATTCTTTCCTGACAATATACCCTGACTATACCCTCCCTAACTTCGAAAGATTTAAGGGGATTTTTTTCCTCTCAGAATGGAAAATCTAGATTTCCTGCTTTTTTTCTGGTTAGCTTCTACATATGCACTTCCACTGTCTTATGGTTTATGAGCAGCTGGATGGATCCAGCTCAAGTTTTAAAAATCAGTTTTTGAACTGATGTCAACAATATAAAGTTGTACCTAAAATAAATATTTTGAGACAGTTATAAGTTATGGAAAACATTTAAAATGGAAATATCTTCTCAAATTTGGTATGTCAGGTTCATGAAATGTTTACTTTTCTTTATTCTCTTTCTAGTTTGTGAATGTTTAGCTCAGAGGTTGCAAATGCTTAGAACAGTCCATGCCATATAACTTGCACTTCAAATTTAATTTTAAGTTTTCGTAGGTGATATATTCACATGGTTTAAAACAGTTATAAAGATACATTGTGAAAACATTTCCTCCAACATCTGTTTCCCATGTACCCAGTTCTCACGACTCATCCCTATAGGTAATTTTGATAATTCGTTTTTTTCTGTATTCTTCCAGAGTTTCTTTGTTTAGATAACAAACAGAAACACACACATTAAAACCTGTGAACGCTGGTATCTGTATAAGGTGGAAATCTTTCAGAGAAGGAAAACTCAAATATTTTCCACTAACAGAGAGTGACAGAAAAGTGTTAAGACGGTAACTGTCAAAGGCGGAAAACTTGCGAGACTTGGAAAAAGAAGGCAGTCCCGTCAAGTTCCGGCTCTCACAAGTTTCACTGTATAAATGCTTATTTTCTCTCCTTTATAAAGAAAAACACACATTTCTATACCTTGGTTTACTCACAAAACAATAAACCTTCTACATTTTCCTACACAATACACAAGAAGCTTCTCTTTCTTTCATTTTTACAGCTGCATAGTTTTCCATTTTGGGTTTGGACCAATACTTAACTGACAGACTTTTTATTTCAGAATACTTTTAGATTTATAGAAAAGTTGCAAGACTATTATAGAGACTTCCCATTTATCCTGCACTCAGTTTCTCCAATTGTTAACATTACTTTGCTGCATTTGTCATAACTTATGAACTAATATTGATACATTATTTTTACCTAAAGTTCTTATTTTATTCAGGTTTCTTTAGTTTTTACCTAATGCCCTTTTCCTGTCCCAGGATCCCATCTAGGATACCACATTACATTTAGTCATTATGTCTTCTTAGGCTCCTCTAGACTATGTTACTTTCTCAGACATTCCTTGTTTTTGATGACCTTGACAGTTATGAGGAGTACTAGTCAAGTGTTTTGTAAAATGTCACGCAATTTGGGTTTGTCTGATATTTTTCTTATGGCTATACAGAGGTTATTGGTTTTGGGAAGGAAGACCATAGTGCCATTCTCATCATATCATATCACGTGTACATGTTATTAACACGATTTATCACTGATATAAACTTTAATCACCTGGCCTAAGCAGTGTCTGTCAGGTTTCTCCACTGCATAAAGTTACTCTCCCCACGCCCAACCCCACTGTCCATATTATGGAGCCCTGGTGGTGCAGTGGTTAAGAGCTCTGCTGCTGACCAAAAGGTCAACAGTTTGAATCCACCAGTTGCTCCTTGGAAACTCTAGGGGGGAAGTTCTACTCTGTCCTATAGGGTCGCTATGAGTTGGAATTGACTTGACGACAACAGGTATGTTTTTTTTTTTGTCTTCCATAGTGTACTCTTTGGAAGGAAATCACTATTTGCATCTCACGTTTAAGGGGTGGGGAGTTAGTTTCCCCCTCTTTGAGGGTGGGATATTTACATACATTATTTAGAATTTTTCTACATGAGAGATTTGTCTATTCTCCCCCATCTAATTATTTATGTAATTGTTAATTTATATCAATGTGGACTCATGGACGTTTATTTTATACTTTGATTATAATCCAATACTATGTTATTTTGTTGTTCAAACTGTTCCAATTTTGGACATTGGGTGCTTTTTCAGTTGGCTCCTGTATCCTTTGACATACCCCTCCTCTGTTTGGGTTTTTTTTGAGCACTTACTTTGTGACACTACAAGACGCTCCAGGATCAACTTTTATATTCTCTACTCCAGCCTTAGAATCAACCATTTCTCTAAGGAGCCCTGGTTCCTTTTATTGGAGAATGGAATTACAAATGCGGATCTGAGTATTGGGTATGCTGGTTCCTACTGGGGTATCATTACTGCTAAGCCTCTTAGCAGTCAGAACTAAGAAACATCATGTGTGTAAACCAACCCAAGTATATATACAACCCTGCTGGCATAGTGGTTAAGTGATAAGGCTGCTAACCAAACGGTTGGCAGTTTGAATCCACCAGGTGCTCCTTGGAAACTCTATGGGGCAGTTCTACTCTGTCCTATAGGGTAGCTATGAGTTGAAACTGATGGCAACAGGCTTCATTTATAATTATTTCTGTTTATCTCCATATGTGTTTATACTATGATAAACATGACATCATACGGATGTCTCCGACTGATGTTTCTGATCTTTTGCATATACAAACAATGCTGCAACTAATAAGTTTGCATATATATTAGGTTACATGTGTGCAAGTGTATGTGTAGGATAAATTCCCAGAAGTGGAATTACTTGGTCAAAGGGACTATACATTTATAAATTTCATAGATATCTGTTAAGCTACACCTCCCCCCACCCCAAAAAAAAACACACTGCCGTTGAGTTGATTCCGATTCATAGCGACCCCGTAGGGTTTCGAAGACTGTAAATCTTTATAGAAGCAGACTGCCACACATCTTTCTCCCACAGAGACACTGGTGGTTTCCAACTGGCGACCTTTCAGTTAGCAGCCAGGCACTTTAACCACCGTGCCACCAGGGCTCCTAACCTATTCACAGAGTTTTTTCCAATTTATAATTCCATCAGCAATATATGAGGATACTTCTTTCTAACAGCTTTGACAACTGAGAATGCTACAAAACTTTTACAGTTTTGTCAATTTAATATGTGACAAATGACATTGCCATGTAGTTCTAATTAGCATTTTTCTTATCATTAAGGTTGAACTTTTTCATTTGTTTAGGAGCCATCTGTATTTCTTTGGTCATATCCTTGGTGTAGTTCTCGATTGAATTGTAGGTATTTTTCTTTTTGCTTTCTACATTCTCTTTTTTGGTATTGACTAAAGTGCCTCCTCTCATTGGTCATTCTGAGGTACCCAATATTAGACATGAGATCGAAACAGTTCAGATAATGAAAAATACCTTAGTAAATCTGAACTACTTGATGGGCCTTTTTGGGTGAGGGGTGGGGATTGGAAGGCACTGATAGGATCTTAAATGAAATGAAAATATCTTTCCCGAACTAATTATTTAAGAAGACTTTAGTCTTGTTAAGTATCATTCGAGGTTTCACAACTCAGTGAAGATATGAACTGTATCTTTGCTATACCTAGGAAAGAAACATAATTTTCATTGATGGGATTACAATAAAATGAGGAATTTTTGCTGAAGAACATAATTTATAATGGACTTAACGTCATTTTCTTAAAAAAAAAGAATGTACTTACTTTTAAGATTATGAAGTAACATAGCTAGTAAAGTCATAAATTTTGAATACTGAATAACAGAAAAGTCCATTTCTTTAGCCCACAAAAATCCAGACACATAATAATCCAGTAGAATAGCTTCCTTTAAACAAGTTTGAAGATTTTTGAAATCCAAAAACTCTTCCAATTTTCTGTAACAAAAAGGGAAATCTAGATATTAAAATAAAATGAAACACTTAAGTTTCTTTTCTAATTAAAAACTTAAATATTTTTCTTGAATGAAAAGTCTATAATGCCCATAATGTAAAAATAAAAAACTCAAACCAAAACAGTTGCTGTCGAGTAGATTCCAACTCACAGTGACCCCAAACCCCAAGTGTTTCGGAGTAGAACCATGCTCCACAGGGTTTTCAGTGGCTGTGACCTTTCTGAAGCAGACTGCAGACCTTCCGAGGTGCCTCTGGGTGGATTCAAACCTCCAATCTTTTGGTTAGTAGCCGAGCTTTTAACCATTGGAGCTACCCAGGGACTCCTGATCTAAAAATAGTCATCGTTATATCTAAATCTGTAAGTCCAAAATAATAATGAAGTGCAAAACTGAGAGAGAGAGAGAAAGAAAGTAAACTCACAGCGCACCGCTGAAGGTCAACTGTTTCACCAGCTCCTTACTCTTATGATCTTTTTGCAAAAATTTCTAAAAGTGAGGTTATTGGGTTACATTTGACATGGTGAAATACACTGTTAAACTTCTCTCTAGAAACGCAGTGCCAAGTTAGTCTTCCATCAACATCATTAAAAAAAGCCTGTTTTTCCATACCTCCATCTGGTTTGGGTTTCGTCAGTAATTTTACCGTCTATTAATCTGGTAGGAAGAAATACTATCTTCTGCCTTTCTTTACTTGTTAGTTAGATTTGAATCCTTTTAATGTCCTTCTCTATTGGTTGCTTTTTTTCCTTAGTGATTTATAAGAGCTTTTTGTATATTTAGAGATATTAGTCCTTTATATTTGTGATACAATTTTTAAAAAAATATCATTTTGTCATCTGACATTCAATTTTATTTATGGTGAGAGGAGGAAATTAGGTTACATTTTTTCTCACTTATACCCTATTTTTGTTGACCTGTTCTAGAATAATTAGTCCAGTCTATTATTATCATATTAGACTTTATTTTAATTTTAAATGAGTCCCATGCTTAATACCAAGGCTTTTATATCAGTTTCTCATTGACAGTTTCTTTGTTTTAAATTCACCAATGAACTGATTCATCTTTCTGCTGAGTTATGAGTACGTTTTTCAATAAGACCACGCGGATGCTCTGTTTTCCGAGTCATCACATACATTCCAAGTCTTATTGCCATTAACTGTACTCATGAGGGACCCGTACATAGATCAACAGGCAGTCGCTCAAACAGAACAAGGGGATACTCTCTGGTTTAAAATCAGGAAAGGTGTACATCAGGATTACATCCTTTCACCATACTTATTCAATCTGTATGCTGAGCAAATAATGCCAGAAGCTGGACTATATGAAGAAGAACACAGCATCAAGATTGGAGGAAGATTCATGAACAACCTACGATATGCAGATGACACAACCTTGCTTGCTGAAAGTGAAGACGACTTGAAGCACTTACTGATGAAGATCAAAGACCATAGCCTTCAGTATGGATTACACCTCAACATAAAGAAAAAAAAATCCTCACAACTGAACCAATAAGCAACATCCTGATAAACGGAGAAAAGATTGAAGTTGTCAAGGATTTCATTTTACTTGGATCCACAATCAACGTCCATGGAAATAGCAGTCAAGAAATCAAATGACGTATTACACTGGGCAAATATGCTACAAAAGATCTCTTTAAAATGTTAAAAAGCAAAGATGTCACTTTGACTACTAAGGTGTGACTAACTCAAGCCATGGTGTTTTCAATCACCTCATATGCATGCGAAAGCTAGACAATGAATAAGGAAGACACAAAAGAACTGATGCCTTTGAATTATGGTATTGGTGAAGAATATTGAATATACCATGGCCTGCTAGAAGAATGAACCAATCTGTCTTGGAAGAAATACAGCCAGAATGCTCCTTAGAAGGGAGGGAAGCGAGACTTCGTCTCACATGCTTTGGACATGTTATCAGGAGGGACCAGTCACTGGAGAAGAACATCATGATTGGTAAAGTAGAGGGTCAGTGAAAAAGAGGAAGACCCTCAGTGAGATGGACTGACACAGTGGCTGCAACAATGGGCTCAAGAATAGCAAAGATGATGAGGATGGTACAGGACTGAACAGCATTTTATTCTGTTGTACATAAGGTCACTATGAGTCGAAACCCACTTGATGACACCTAACAACGATAACAACAACTTTTCCATTACAACTGAACAACAACCTGAATTACTATTTTATTCTGGGATCACATTCTTTTGACTTGCCAAATTCTGATTACTTGTTACTTCACTGATTTCTGATGCCTAATATTGCTAAGAAAATGTCTGATGCCTGACTGATTGTATCCCTCATTAGATAAATGGCCTTCTCCAAGATAAGGTAATACATGAAGTTTTATTCTATTAAAATAAAATTTAAAAATAAAAACTTATTTTATGAGGTTTAAGTTATTTTTTTCTGATTCAGTATGTTGGATGTATACTTTAACCCTTTGCTGTGGAGTCGATTCTGACTCATAGTGCCACCATATGCTACACAGTAGAAATGCACCATAAAAAAAAAAAAAAAAACTCTGTTGCCATCGAGTTGATTTCGACTTATAGCGACCCCATGGGACAGAGTAGAACTGCCCCATAGGGTTTCCAAGGAGCGGCTGGTGGATTCAAACTGCTAACCTTTTTGGTTAGTAGCTATAGCTCTTACCCACTGCACCACCAGGGCTTTGAAGTGTGCCATAGAGTTTTCTTTATGAGCAGATTGCCAAGCCTTTCTTCTGCTGTGCTGCTGAGTGGGTTCAAACTGACAACTTTTATTAGTCCAGCACAAATCAATTGCTATACCCAGGGACCAGGATGTGTATTCTACCATCTTCTAATTGCTTTAATCTGTGCATTTTGTATACATCTTAAGTTGATCTTCCACATTAATGACTTGATTTTCAGCAAGGTAAGTTCTACATTGGTTTTATTCTTTTACCCTTTGTTTCTTGCCTTAGTTCTAAAAGGTTCTTATTTTCATATTTTATCAACTCTTCTTTAATCCTTTGTTGCCCAGAGTCAATACCCCCTTTAATTATCAGCTTTTGTGAAACATTTTCTTCTGTTTCCAGCAGGTAGTCTTTCTTAACTATACTCTTCATATGCTTTCTGCTAGCTATGTCATTTTAATTAAAATTTTTACCTGAATATTTGCATGTGTTCTTTGCTTTTTATTTTCTTTTTTTCTACGTTTAATAATATTTGAATTAAGACAACTACTTGCCTAAGACTATTGTGGTGAAATCTTTTTGACCTTCCCAACCTTTGCTCTCCCCCACTCCTCTTCCACCACTTTACCTAGTACCATTTGAATATTTCCCTTCAACTTGAACTACAGGGATGAATACTTATCATTTCTATTCTTTGCTAAGTCATTCGATTCCAAAAGAGATTAAACAGGGAGGAATTTGGAACAATATGCTGCTGCAATTTGAATGCAATGTTTGCACACGTTACTGGCAAATTTGTAGACACTTTTTCTCTGGCAATGAGGGGAAATAGGGCAGGGGAGAGGGAGAGATGGCCACAGTGTAGGGTGTGAGAGTACAGGGCAGAGAAAGATGCTTAATAGTGTTTTAGGAAGTTTTGCTATAGTGATAGGTGATGTAGCTACTTTGTCTCACCAAAAATTTCAGTAAGAATATTACATTCTTGCATGCTTTTGAATACGATGACATGCAGAAATAAGCCTTAAGGCAAGAACTGAACAGCTCATGGAGGCCCAGTTATAGAAAGGTTATAAAAAGATCTCACAGTGTTATTTCTGTGTTTATGTAGTCATTTTCAATTTAGTCCATATCCTCTTTTTAAAAGAGAACTTGAGGTGGATCTGTAAATAAAGTCAGGGCTACATTAAAACATGAATGATTGATAGCAGCTCAGAGATCGTGAGAAATGTACTCAGACGTTTAACCTTGCTTAAAGTGTACTCTGGAAACTTGTTTTACTGATACTTTAATGATTCATTTGGTTGGCTGCTTTCATGGAGAGCAATTTTTAATTTTAAGTGGTAGGGAAATGTGCTGATTTCTTATAATTTATTTAAACAGGTCTCTAGCTTTGTAGACAGCAGAATTTTGGCATACTTCTGTCACTTGGTGTCAGGATACCTAACTTATATTTCTGTCATTTTGAAAGACATCTAATCCCCATTTATAATGGTGCTATTTTAAAATGAAAGTGAGTGAGTGATTGCAAATATAGTCGGCCCACCATATCCTCGGGTTCTGCATCCAGAGATTCAATCAACCTCGGATCGAAAATACTCGGAAAAAAAAAAAAGTTTCTGAAAGCAAAACTTGAATTTGCCACCCACTGAGCACTATGCTGATATGCTGAATCCACGCAAATGAAGTGATGTGTAGGCATCCCCTGCTGTAGCCTCCCGCCATTTAACAGATTCTCAGTCTCTCTCCAGCACTCATTGTTTGAGCATCCTTTGTCTCGCTTCTCATTTGTTCGCTACTTGTGTTGAGTGCACCCTTTGTTTCTGTGAAAAAATGGTTCCTAAAAAAAATTAAGTAGTCAAAGCAATCCCTCAAAGGCTAATAGGGAGCATAAAGTGCTATCTCTCCATGAGAAAATAAAAATTTTAGATCTTTTGAAAAGCAGCATGTCGCTTGCTGAAGTCGGCCGTGAGGTCTCTAAGAATGAACGGGGCATTCGCACGATAACGTAAAAAGAAGCTGAAATTCATGGAAGTGTTAGTGCTTCCCCTACAACGCAAAAATGGTCTCTCTGGTTCATGGTAAAGTGCTTGCAAAGGCTGAGAAGGCATTAAGTGTTAAGTGTAAGCATTAACTATTTACATATCATTTACACTGTATTAGGTATTGTAAGTAATCTAGCGATGATTTATATTCGGGAGGATGTGCGTAGGTTATATGCAAATACTATGCCATTTTATATAAGGGACTCGAGCACCCACAGATACCTCCGAGGGGGTCCTGGAACCAATTCCCCTTGGAAACTGAGGGATGGCTGTATTTCAGGATTACTGATACAAAAATCACATTAAGTAGCTCAAAAAATTCCTTTGCAAAGAAATGGCACCTGACATAACACTGGTGTCTTTTATCCAAAATTGGTGTCCTAAAACTTGAGATTATTTCAGGTGATTTCTACATTAATGAGACAGTCTTAAATGTGGTAAGAAATAAGCAAGTTTAAAAAGCATTTGTTTACAGTATCTTTTATTTAATATGATTAAATTATAAAACTATATTGGAAACTACATAAAATATCTGTCATTTTGCATTGTATTCTTTTGCCTAGCCAACTAGCATTTTGCATTGCAATGACCAGACATTTGGGGTTACCTGAAAATGGACAAAAAAAATTATATAGACGCATAATCAGTGATGTTAATACAACAAATGGATTTTACTTGTCAGTTCTCACACTAAAAACTGGAATTCCCAATGCACATTCATTGCTATAAAAATGGTAAAATCATCATGAAATAGTTGTTTAAAATACATGAAAATTTTTTATTTATGGAGTAATCCTTGCAGATCTGTGGATATTAAGCAGTTTATGGCTGAATCCAGATCATCAGGATTTCTAGCAGGGTTTGCAAGCACCAGCGGCGAAGAACATCTTTGGGAAAGGCCTGTCAGTGTCATCTGCTCACTCTTGATATGCCTTCCCTTCTCAGACTTCCCTTCCCAGCCTATACATCTGTCATGTTTCCTTCTCAGTAGCAAATTGCCTCTGTTTCCTAATATTTGTAAAATTTTCAAATGATAACCACTGATGGCATCATTTTCTATTTGTCCATTATGGTTCACAGCGCCCTATTTGTGCCCTGAAGACTGGCCTGCAGGGACCTTATAGCAGGACATGACAGCCAGCATCACATCATCCCCACTCTCCTCACATTATGGCCAACCAGGCTTTCCTCATTAGAGGGAGATAATTTTAAAATGGGTGATCGCGAGAAACATCTTTGAGGGAATTTTGGGCTTGAATGTATGACTAGAGTTCTAAATAAATGATCTACTGTAGAAATAAATCGCCTTGAGAGTAGGATGTACAAATAGAAGAATTACTGCCTATAAATTCAGTTATATTCATATTTTTAAACAACTTGTATGAAATCAGAGTTCTTAGAATGGCTTCATTTCCAGTATGGGGTGGGGGGATGACTAATATTCAGGAATTTCTAAAATAATAAAATGTGTAGACTATTAATATTATAGGAAACACCACTTACTCTTCCCATGATGAGGTAATTGTGCATATTGATAATCAGTTTTATGAATGAACGAGAAAAGAAGATGGCATATGCTAGAGGCTGCTTTTAACAAGAAATCCCTAGTCTCAGTTAATATCAACAAGTTGGTTTGGAAATATATTTCTCTTATGAAGAAGGCTGTAGAACAGTGCAAAAAAGCCATTTATTTGAGAATTTTTGTGTTCTGGAGTCTGGGTATACGTCAGTGCACAAAATAATAACAAATATTTTGAAAAAAGCTTAAAGTATATAACAACAAAATCAAAAACCAAACCAAACCTGTTGCCATCGAGTCAATTCTGACTCATAGTGACCCTACAGGACAGAGTAGAACAGCCCCATAGGGTTTCCAAGGAGTGGTTGGTGGATTCAGAATGCCGACCTTTTTGGTTAGCAGCTGAGCTCTTAAGCATGCACCACCAGGGCTCTGGTATAATAACATGTCATGGTCATTTATAAATGCAGAACTAAAACTTTTCTATATCTGGTTGTAACGTTGAAGTGCTTACCGTTGAACTCCATTTGGGTCTGCTGCTAGCAAATCAGTGATTTGGTCAATTGAAAGAAAATCTGGAGACAGGATTGTCTCATGCTCCTGGGATTCAGCATCTCTCTGCAATTAAAAAAAAAAAAGTAGAATGAGTTATTTCAATCATGTTTTATGTATTAATCTCACAGATATAAAAATGTGTTCTTATTGTGGTCTAGTTGCTGTCAGGAAGAAAATGCAAAAACAACAGTACTCTAGATAAAAAGTTTTCTTTTTCCTTTTTATAAAATGGTACCTCTCCTCTGAAGTTTCAAATGGTTGGTCAATCTGTCACTTCAGCATATGTAAAACTGGTGGTGGTTTTCAATTCAACAACTATTTATTGAAAATCTACATATTCCTCATTGAGTAGGAGGCTCAAGAGGAGGCAAAAACATGTTAGAAATACTTTCTAATCTCAAGAAGCTTAATATCTAGTGAGAGGAACAAATCAAGAGTGACTTTAGAGCAAGAAAAGAAAATGATGTGTGATAAGGAGTCCCTAATCAATGTGTCATTCAGTCTAAAAGAAAAGGACAGAACAAGACAAGTCTGTAGAGAAGAGGTCCAGGAAGGGACCTTATGGAACTCAGGAGGGATAATGCCCCAGGTGGATGAATCAGTAACAGCAAGCTTAGGAAGACAGGAGAGCTGGGGGCTGGTTCCGGAAATAGCAGGCAGTCCACAATGATGTCTAGAGTATGCAGACAGGACTAGTGGGAGCTAGGTGAGAAATAGAGGTTGGGAATATATTATGGAAGATATTGCAATTTAATAATTTAATAATTCAGCAAATATTTACTGAGTGCTTACACCATGCAAGATACTGTGCAAATATTTCAGACCACGGTTCATTGAAGAATGACAGGCTGAGGAGTTTGTTCTTAATAACACCGGCAATGGGGAACCAGTGAAATGTTTGAGCAGTGAAGTGACAAAATCAAAACTGTGCTTTAAGAGATGTTAATCTGACAGCAGGATTAAGGAAAGACAGGAGCAGAGAAAGGTCACAGGTGGAGTTAAATTAATAAATAGGTCATTAAAATTATTCAGGAAAAGGCATTGGACTACACTGGGCTCCTGACTGTGTGGATGAAAGAAGGGGGTGAATGCAACATATTATATATGGGGGACAAAAAGGGAAAAGGGAATCCTTGAGTGGTACAAATGGTTAATGCCCTCAGCTGCTAAAGAAGTTTGGAGGTTTGAGTCCAACCAGAGTCATCTCAGAAGAAAAGCCTGGTGATATATTCCCGAAAAACCTGCCACTGGAAACCCTGTGGAGCACAGTTCTACCCTGACACACATGGGATCGCCATGACGAGACTCAATGGCAACTGGTTTAAAAGAGGAAAGAATGAATAAAGATTCTGAGTTTCTGAAACAGGTGGCTGGGAGACCATGGTGGTGATACTCAGGGCCTTCAATAGCACATACGCCTCCTTTATGTGCATTAGACAAAGTCATCCTGTCTGGGTGGGAAAAGTACTAAAAGGCCCCTTTTCCCAAGGCTGACCCAGTCCTGTGCCTGAGTGCACCACTGGTGAACAGAGTTGAAGTACTGTCCAGCTCTCACTGACCCCTCAGCTGGTGCTTTTATTCAGATTATGACGTGCATAACAACCGTATGTGGTGCCCTAGTTGCATCAACAGAAATAGGAGCATTCGAAGACGATGCTAGTTTTAAGAAGACAAGATGATGAGTTTGGTGTTCAGTGGTTGAGTTTAAAGTGGAAGATGCATATCAAGGAAGAAACATTTAGAAATTAATTAGAAAAGCTGGAAATGCTGGAGTCAAATTTAAAGATGGTGGTGTAGGAGTCAACTCCAAGTACAGCAATGGATGAGATCGCCAGGGCAGAAGAGAAGAGCTCTGAATGAGAGAAGAAGAAGACTGAGTAGTTGAGGTTAGAGAGGTGAGAGAGAAAAACAGCTTCATGAAAATTAAGGATTGTGCATTTTAGGGGAGGAGAAGCAAGTATTTTTTAATTCAGCAAATAGCTATTGAGCCTTCCATGTGAATGGGCTTCAACAAGTAGGAACAGGAGGGAAATGCTTTGCTATTATTAACCAGATCACATGCCAAATTTTCCTTATTTCCTTTCCCAAACCCAACACTCACTGGTAATGACAATTGACTTAATATTTGTAATTTAATATTAGATTATTACTTATTTTAAAAATCTAGTTTACAAATAAAATATGCTACTTATTAGTGATCTTATTAGCTATCTTTTTGTAATCTAGCATGAACAAATTAACCTAACCTAGGTCAGACTATTAGATTTTAAACTCATTAAGAAAAAAATATTAGTGATCTTATACACAGAAAACCCCAAAGAATCCATAAAAAAACTACTGGAACTAATAGAAGATTTCAGCAAAGTATCAGGATACAAGAGAAACATACAAAAATCAGTTGTATTCCTCTACACCAACAAAGAGAACTTTGAAAAGTAAATCACCAAATCAATACCATTTACAATAACCCCCAAGAAGATAAAATTCTTAGGAATAAATCTAACCAGAAATGTAAAAGATCTATACAATGAAAACTACAAGACACTACTGCAAGAAACCAAAAGAGACCCATATAAGTGTAAAAACATACCTTCCTCATGAATAGGAAGACTCAACATTGTGAAAATGTTAATTCTACCCAAAGTGATCTACAGATACAATGCAATCCTAATCCAAATTCCAATGGCATTTTTTAATGAGATGGAGAAACAAATCACCAACTTCATGTGGAAAGGGAAGAGGCCCCAGATAGGTAAAGCATTACTCAAGAAGAACAAAGTGGGAGGCCTCACCCTACCTGATTTTAGAACCTATTATACCACCACGGTAGTCAAAACAGCCTACTGGTACAACAACAGATACATAAACCAACAGAACAGAATTGAGAATCCGGATGTAAATTCATCCACCTATGAGCAGCTGATATTTGACAAAGGCCCAAAGTCCATTAATTGGGGAAAAGACAGTCTCTTTAACAAATGGTGCTGGTATAACTGGATATCTGTCTGTAAAAAAATGAAACAAGACCCATACCTCACGCCATGCACAAAAACTGAAAATGGATAAAAGACCTAAATATAAAATCCAAAACAATAAAGATGGTGGAAGAAAAAATAGGGACAATGCTAGAAGCCCTAACACATGGCATAAACAGAATACAAACCATAAGTAACAATGTACAAACATCAGAAGACAAAACTGGGAGCTCCTAAAAATCAAATACTTATGCTCATCAAAAGACTTCACCAAAAGTCAAAAGACAACCTACAGATGGGAAAAAAATTTTGGCTATGACAAATCCGATCAGCATCTAATCTCTAAAATCTACAAGATACTACAAAACCTCAACAACAAAAAGACAACCCAATTTAAAAATGGGCAAAGGATATGAACAGGCACTTCACCAGAGAAGACATTCAGGCAGCTAACAGACACATGAGGAAATGCTCATGATCATTAGCCATTAGAGAAATGCAAATCAAAACTACAGTGAGATACCATCTCAGCCCAACAAGGCTAGCATTAATCCAAAAAACACAAAATAATGTTGGAGAGGTTGTGGAGAGACTGGAACACTTATACATTGTTGGTGGGAATGTAAAATGGTACAATCACTTTGGAAATCGATTTGGTGCTTCCTTAAAAAGCTAGAAATAGAAGTACCATATGATCTAGCAATCCTACCCCTTGGAATATACCCTAGAGAAATATGAGCCATCACACAAATAGATATATGCACACCCATGTTCATTGTAGCCCTGTTCACAATAGCAAAAAGATGGAAACAACCTAGGTGCCTATCAACAGACGAATGGATAAACAAATTATGGTATATTCACACAATGGAATACTATGCAACAATAAAGAAAAACAATGAATCCAGGAAACATCTTATAACATGGAGGAAACTGGAAGGCATTATGCTGAGTGAATTTAGTCAGTCACAAAAGGACAAATATTGTATAAGACCACTATTAGAAGAACTCAAGAAAAGGTTTAAACACAGAAGAAAACATTCTTTGATGGTTACGAGGGTTGGTAGGGCAGGAGATGGGTATTCACTAACTAGGTAGTAGACAAGAATAATCTTAGGTGAAGGGAAGAACAACAAAAACTACAGGGGAAGTCAGCACAACTGGACTAAACCAAAAGCTAAGAATTTTCCTGAGTACAACCAACCACTTCAAGGGATAAAGTAGCAGGGGCAGGGGTCTGGGGACCATGGTTTCAGGGGACATCTAGGTCAATTGGCATAACAAAGTCTATTAAGAAAATGTTCTGCATCCCACTTGGTGAGTGGCATCTGGAGTCTTAAAAGCTAGCAAGCGGCCATCTAAGATGCATCAATTAGTCCCAGCCCACCTGGAACAAAGGAGAATGAAGAACACCAAAGACACCAGGAAAATAATTAGCCCAAGAGACAGAAAGGGCCACATAAACCAGAGACTGCATCAGCCGGAGACCAGAAAAACTAGATGATGCCTGGCTACCACCAATGACCACCCTGACAAGGAACACAACAGAGAGTCCCTGATGGAGCAGGAGAAAAGTGGGGTGCAGAACTCAAATTCTAGTAAAAAGATCAGACTTAATGGTCTGATTGAGACTGGAGGGACCCTGGAAGACATGGCCCCCGGCCTCTCTGTTAGCCCAAAACTAAAACCATTCCCGAGGCCAACTCTTTAGATGAAGATTAGACTGGACTATTAGTGGGTTCAAATTACTTGCCTTAGGAAACCCTGGTGACGTGGTGGTTAAGTGCTAAGGCTGCTAACCAAAAGGTTGGCAGTTCAAATCCACCAGGCACTCCTTGGAAACTCTATGCAGCAGTTCAACTCTGTCCTATAGGGTCACTATGAGTTGGAATTGACTCAATGGCAATGGATTTGGCTTTTTTTTTTTTTGGTTATGGGACATAAAATGATACTTGTGAAGAGTGTACTTCTTAGCTGAAGTAGATACATGAGACTAAATGGGCAGCTCCTGTCCAGAGGCCAGATGAGAAGGCAGAGAGGGTCAGGAGCTGTTGAATGGACACAGGAAATCCGGCGTAGAAAGGAAGA